CCACACCTTACAATACCTCGAATTGGACAATAACCCCATGGGTTAGTGGCACCGATAACACATCCGGTGAATTCGTTATAACCGCAGACGCTGCATCAGCATTCCACGAACATTTCATCAAATTACTAAATGTATCGATCAGCAACAATATTACGGTAAACAACAGTCAGCATATTGGTAACCAACATTACGGTCAACAACAGTCAGCAAATTGGTGGTCGACATAGGTGTAATGTAGAAGTAAGAAATATATTGTAATTAATCTTAAGTTGGATTCAAATAAATAAACACATGAGCGGACGAAAGTCCGCGAGCTTTTTAAAAATAAAGTTTATTAAATAAAACTTTAACTTATATGTACATATGTATACTTGTATAAATATAAGATTGGGGGTAAGTGGAGATATACCGCTTTCCGGAACACGGAGTTTTTCTATCAAAATTTTAATAGCGGCAAATTGCCGATGTGAAATTTTTGGCGGCAAGAAAATGCCCGCAATTTTAGTACAACCGTTTTTGGCGAGAATAAATACGCCTTTAATGAAATTATATATACATATGTATATGTATGTATATCGTCGTTTAAAGTACAAAACCGCGTATCGTCATTCTGCAAAATCGCGTAACTGACATTGGCTGCCAAAAATTGGATTTGCTCACACAAGCTCTTGGTTCAATCGTTATCCATTCGTCCTGAAATATGCTATCCAGATATGCGATTTCTTTATGAAAAAGAGAACCATTCTTAAATATGAGTGTTTTTACTCTCTAAAAAATAATTTATGCAACCTCACATACGTGGTTTTGCATTTTGCTGATACGCGGTTTTGCATTTTGTTGATACGCGGTTTTGCACTTTAAACGACGATATATTCGTTGGCAGTTTATATTTGATAATATAACTTTTGAGAAAATAAAAGTTATATTATTTTAATTGTTAAGAAAATTGAAATTTGCCTACTCACTACTTTCCTTTATTTATGTAGCTATGTATTGTTGTAGCTGATGATGTTGATGGCCGCTGGTGCTGCTGCTGATGTCCCTCTAATGTTGGCCGATGGATTGGTTGGGGGATGGCCGCTGATAACGCTTTGTTGTTGTGCTTGTTGCAAAATATCTATATGCGCACAAAAGTATCGGCACAGCGAACTTGTTTTTTTCAAAGAATTTTTAATATGTGCACTTCTCTCACTTTGGTGATTTTTTGTTTGTTTTTTTTTGTTTGTCAACAAATTTTGAATTTTCACGGGCTTCTCTTGCGTATATGTATATGTACATACGTGCACTTTTGTTTATAGATTTTTCCACTTAGTTAATTGTTTTAGTAGTGCGGACGTACGATTCCGAATTTTTAGTTATTTCTTGTTAAGTTTTTTTTTTTTATCTTAGGAGCTGGGCCACGGTTGGCTGCGAAGGACCATGAATAATTTCCAGTGGTCGGATTTCACACTCACCTCTCCAAACACCTTATATCCACTTTAAGATAAAGACTTGTTTACGGTTTAAAAGTATACAAAATTTAAACTTAGTTTATTTTCTGTTTATGTAATTTAGTCACACACATATACAGAGTTTATTCAGATATTTATTTGGCAAATAGATTCAAAAACCGTGTTGACTCCGATGATTGTTTTCGATAAGCGCGCGTGCGCGATGTCCGACGATAAATGCTGAACTGGTTTCTGCGGATTTCGCACGATGATATAGAGCTGGAAAACTATCGATAGTATCGATGGTTTTTGACTATCGAAACATCGATGGTTTTCTAAGCACTATCGATAGTTTTCATCCATATATACATTATTCAGTAAGAGTAAAAGACGCCGGTACCTGTTTCATCTTGTGAGTCGAAAAGGATATTTAGCAAAGCAGGGCAAATAATTTCAGAGCGCAGATGCTCCTTGAAGCCAAAAATCGTTGATAAACTTTTGTTCCTTAACAAAAATATGGACATATTTTAACAATTCTGATCTCATTTTAAATAAATGTTGTTAAGTTTAATTTTTGGACTTTTAACCAAAACTATCGATAGTACTATCGATAGTATCGACATTTTCGACAGTATCGATACTATCGATGGTTGTACTTTCGACTATCGAAACTATCGATGTCCACGACTATCGATAGTTTTCCAGCTCTACGATAATATGGTAGACGGCTGTGCTCGCTCGCTACTCATATTTTCGGAGTTGACGTCGGTCAACTGCCAAACTGCTGTGGCCAAGTATTGCGCGCACGGCCGTCGTATTGCGCTTTAAGCGGCGGCTTAAACAGTAGTCATAAAGTGGGCGGTGCCGCGCCCAATCCAATATATAGCAATCTTATATATTTTTTGTTAAGAGTTTGTTGTAACTATTAACATGCAGTAAATTAGCGTCCTCAGTTATCGAAATATCGGAGTTTTCGTATACATATCTGAAATTTACAGTTATACGGAAAACGGGTATAATTTTAGTCCGGTTTGAATAATTTTCAATGATTTGCTTTCTTGTACCAAGGTTATTAAGTGCATCGATTTTGGTAGAAATTCATAGATCGGTTACCGATTTCAAAGATTTTCAACAAATTTCTTTGCGAGATCGTAGGCAAGGCTCGTACCGAGTTTGGTAACGATTGGTGAAGCGGCTAGTGAGATACAGCATTTCATCATAAGTGGGCGGGTTCACGCTCATTTTCCAAAAATTTCATAATATTATTTTTTACCAAAATTCTACTCCACATACTAATTTTCAGCAATTTGGATCCAATATTTACTGAAATATCGTAGTTCTTTCATTTTTCGAAGATACCGTTACACGGGAAGTAGGCGAGGTTACAGTCCGTTTCCGCCCATTTTCAATACCAACCAACCTTGATAAAGGGCAACCCCAATACCACCACACGGACGGACAGACAGACGTGGCTTAATCGACTTCTCTAGTAATTCTGATAATTTATGTCTATATTTTTATCGATTCGTTTTGGTTGTTACAAAAAACCGTTATGTGAACAAAGTTAATATACCCATGTGCACAAGTGCGCTCGGGTATAAAAAGTAATTATAAAACAAAAATGGTTCTTAGATATAAAATCCCAATCTCTTAACTATTGATGTATGTGTGATTCCCAAAGTGGCCCAGGGAGACTCCACGGAGGTCTACGTTGGCGTGAAAAAAATATGGGGGTCCATGAGATGTAAGGGGTCGTCCACGAAAATTTATCTGGTTTCGAAATAAAGAACCAAAATGGTTGCTAGATAGCCTCTTTATTTAACTTTGATTTTTTTTAGTGGAGTATATGTAGTACTCTTGATGCACTGCTGCACTATGACGGTAAAGGGCCATTCACATACAACTTTCCTAGCTTTGCTTGACAGTTCAAACTTTGACCACAAAGCGTGAAACGCAGAAGGTATGCTACAATAAACTCTTTGACAGCTTTTGCGTTCTCCTTTTCCTCCATATTTTTTATCTGTAAAATAGATAACAATATAATAATATGCATTAATAATAGCAATAAAAATTCCTATTAACCCTATTTTTGTCATTAAATGCAAATGCAAGCGCACGAGAAAAGATACATGTAGACAGCTGATTGCCAAAGCGGGCAAAAGTTGAGAGTTGCCCAAGATTTTGCTTCGTTTTGCTTTGCTTTGCTTCAAACGTTTTTTATGTGAGCATACTCATGCATATGCCTACATCGATCTTATATGTCAAAGCAAAGTACTATCAAGCAAAGCGAAGAAAGTTGTATGTGAATCAGCCATAAGTGTTTTCATACGTAGAAAAGCCTTAAAGGTTGGGCTGCCAGATATCTCCGTTGCCAAACCAGGACAATTTGGTACATCTAACACAACAACTGCTTCTCATAAAAATACAATCGCCGTTCGGATTCGGCGTAAAACTATAGGACTTTAGTAGGTCCCTCCGCTTTGTGTGACAACATCAAGGCGCACGCCACAATTCGGAGGAGAAGCTCGGATAAACACTAACATATGTGTAAGCGCCAATCAATTATTATTAACACAACAACTACAAAAAAAAATTTGAAAATTAAGTTTTGTAGCCTAGATTTTAGTTGATTTTTGATAACTTGTTTCCTGAATTTTACACTAAATACGATGACCACTTCCCATTTAGATTAAATTTTAGTGAACATATACATATGTATATGTAGGGGTTTTCAAACTTGTTTGTGTCTTATTGTCATCTGATTATTTTACAATGTATCTATCCAGGACTATTACGGGTTTCTATACCGAAGATAATTGTTTCTGATATACACATTTCGGTGTGAATTTAATACATATCTAGATGGTTCACAAGGTGTCGTAAGTGTCCTATTGTCGTGTGTCGTAAAGTTTTGAACGGCTAAACAAATGTTTAGAGGACTTGAAACCACAACCAAATACTTTTTTAACGGTGTGAAAGTTCATAATACGACTTTTATGGTGGCTTGCGAATCTCTTCAATATAGTTTACTGTTCAATATTGGAGCGGGTGTGAAAAAAAAGATGAATCCACCCATTATAAAGAGAACGGTCCAAACTTTAAGGAAAGTCACCCTTAACCTCTCTGACCGCTCGGCACCCATTTGAAAATGTGGTAAACTTAGCATTTTGCCAGAAAATGTAAGCTCGGGTTACGGCAACCAAAGGACTTACGCGCAGAATACCTCTCCGAGTTGGAGGCCTTCGCCGCGCTTGCAAAAAATAACCCTAATCTGCCCAACTATGGCTACACGGTATTTTTTACAAAAAAGTGCATATTTCACACCGAATTTATTAACAATTTAGTGTTCGAAAATTGTAAATCTTTATTTTAAATCAAATTTGAATCCTTTTATTGCAGGCGTATGTTCACATTTTTTTATTTGGGATATGCGTGTGGACACAATAACCTAAAATCATTGGACAAATAACCGAACCATACCCAAAAATAGACCGTTTGCTTGTTCAAATTTCGATTATAAGAACAAAATGCTTTAAATAAACAAAAAATTAATAACAAAATTTTAATGATTTTAGATATTGGATATGGTAGCACGAAATGTCACAATCTGCTTAATTGTCAGGTTGTTAATATGGCGACGAAAAAGTGACAATGAAACTACCTTATTTTTTGTATCATGGGTTGCTGTGAATTTGTTTCAAAACTTTTGACTTTTCCTTAATATAATTGTAAAACTCTGAACACGTAATTTTTAACGTATGAACAATGGCAAGGCACATTAATACAGGTAGAAGCCAAAATGACGTTGCTCTCATGAGAACCAAACCTTTAAACTTCAACTTGTTTTTCTTTTATTTCCTATATTTCGTTACGCTTTGAATGTCATATCGTTGTTTTTTTTTAATGTTCGTTAATAACAAATTTTAATTAACATGTGAATTTGAGTAGTGTTGTGCGGTTTATACTTAGTGTATGTGTTAAAAATGCAACACCTGAAGCGTTGTTTTTTATGTGGTTTTAAATATGAAGCAGATACCACTAATTGTTTTTAACGTGCCTCAATGTCCTTCGCGTAAAGAGTGTTGCGAAAACAGCTTTGGGGCAGAACTGCAGCGAAATGCCTTGCTGTGCGTTAAACATTTTAAAGCAGCAGATTTCATAAATGCACCGGGAGGTACAGGAATGGCACTTTTGATACCAAGTGCTGTTCCTATGACCCTTATGCCGGAAAGTCCCTCCAACTCATAAAAAAAAACAGAAAACAACATACAAATTAACAAATTTTAACTAAAGAAAAAAAATAAAAACAAAACTTCAAATTTACTCAAAAACG